GCTGAGATTGCTAGTGGTGTTGGTACGAGCATCCACCACTAACAGCTCAGCTACTGGCTCCGGTCTATTGGTGGGGAGCTGCACCTGCTGGAAAACAGGTCCAGCGTCCCTCATACAAGTATTACTGATACGTGACACCTTGTCGCCCGGGAAGGGGCTGTCTGCAATTTCGCCCCAAAAGTCGTTTGCCACTCCCCATATGTAGTCAGCCTCTGGACATACTAGCAAGCAGTGCAGCATTGTTTCCTCTGTCCCTTCTGCACACTGTTTGCACCGTGTCTGGTCAGAGTTTCTATGCTGCAGGCTCCTTCGCTCATACAGCCAAGCATTCACCGGTAGAGTGCAGGCTCCTTCTGCACACTGTTTGCACTGCATGCTTTTTACCTTGCCCACTGCCCAGCCTTATAGAGTGCAGGGCCGACCAGGGTATACGGGGCACCTGTGCTTGTGTGACTCCCATTTTGTCTTCCCATCTCTTCGCCAAAGGTTCAACCAGCAGAAAGGATCGCCTTTGAAGCCGATACCCCAACTTGGTTGTATAATGAAGTATATCACTCTCCTGGATACTCTTGTTGCTCCTCCTCTCACGTTCCATGCCCACTTTGCCAGGTCGACTTCTAGCTTCTCTATCGGAGTCATCGGTGCATAAGTCCTTTGTTTCCTCTTGCCGTATTGTGACTGGGGTCGGGGATGCTTTGTCTAGTAGGCTAGTGGTACTGGTTGGGTTCTCTATCGTGTACACTTCCGCCGATAGCCACTTCCCTCGGTACCACCCTCCTCCCTATACAAAGGGTTTCTGTTGGAGCGCTTCCATGGAGCCATGATTCCCAGTCCCCTGCTACCTATCTGGGCGCCTCCTCCAGGAGTTTCCTCCATGCATCAAGGACGGAAATGAGGACGTCGTTAAGGTTTTCCAATAACCAGTGGCTTCCCTTCATTTGCTCCCGCAGTTCCCTTGCTGTCTTCCATCGTCTGTCCTTATCCCCCCACAGGTGCTTGATTTGCCATATCCCATGTTCCACCCAAGTTTTCCATTTGGTATCCTCTGATATCAAGGTGTGTGGTTTGCTGTTGAAGTCCTTGATCCATGGGTTGCAAAAGAGAGGCTGCCTGAGCACCTCCTCCCTGGAGCAGGGTTCTGTGATTGCTGGAAAAACCTCTCCCCAGATCTTGAGTATCTGCCACCAGTATGAGTCTCCTCCTGTTGCCCTCCCCCTCGCTGATGTTGCCTCCCTCTCCTTTCCTGTTTTTGCCTTTGCTCATAACCCAAAAGGACCCCGACACGTTTGGGGGAGTCCTGTACTTGGCCAGAGTACAAATGTGCTCCAGGGCCAAGGGTGCCCATGGTAACTGGGGGTGCCTGATGATCTTCACCATCCACTTGGTTTGGAGCGCCTTGAGCTGCTGTTCTGAGTCCAGTATTCCCAGGCCCCACTGTTCTTTACTCCTGACTACGTGCCTCCTCACCAATTTTGACATGAATTGCGGTTTGGCGGGATTCACTGTCCACAAGCAGGTTGCAGCCCTCCGCCGGAGGTCCTTGATAAGAACGTGTTACCCCGTATTGAGTCTTTGGTATAGCATTGCTAATTGATGGTTACGATGGTGCCGACACAAGGCGTTGAAGAGGCATGCATCCTAGATAAGTTGATGTTAGAACTGACCAGAAGGTGAATCCCTAGTCGATTGCTCTGTATATAATTTCTATCCACACACCCACATCCACACACACATAATTTGAATTCCCCTGCAACCCAAACACTAACTGGCGTCTTGTTCCATTCTAGAGTAGTCTGCTCCAGCTGTGAGTGTTCAGAACCCTATGAAGTTTGTCTTTCCTCGGTTCTATTACTTGTCCCTCCACTTCCCTCCTCTTCCCCTTCTCCCCCCCCTGCCCATCGCTTCTTGTAGAACTCCACCCCCTACTCCTTTCCTTCTTCCCTCCTCTTGTGTACGTAGGAGTGAGCATCATTAAGAGAACAGAAAAGATAAAGTGAAGATGTGACAAAAAATGAACATCAGTATACCTCGCAATTTACCCTGCCTCCTTTCATACCGTGCAAGTGAGCCTTTTATGGCACACGAGGATGTGGGCAGCTTGCTCTCAACCGCAATCAACGTGGAAAGCCTTGTGCATAGGGAGGCACAGTAAAAGTGGAGCTGCGAGAAACGCCGAGAACACATAAAAAAGGTACCCCAGAGAAACCAAAGTAAATATAGCGAAGAAAGGGATATAGCGGATCTATTGTGATCTCTCGTGCTTCATATTGTTTGCTAGAGAGGTAAAGGTGTTAAAACTGTTTACTTGTTGGATTGACTCATTTCTAGTATGCTTTATTTTCTGCAATAGAGGTGAAGATGCTTTGATTCTAGACACAAATAGTATGATCGTGCGTGTGAGAGAGAGAAAGCTAGAGTTGTAAAATTCCTTTGTTGCATGCAGGTCCCTATGAAGTACACCTCAATTCCCAGTGAATTTTTCAGGGAACTGGAGCTGTTTTTGGAACGGCACATCATGGATGTGATATCCGGCGCACGTCGTCTCACCTACACCCGTTTCAATCGGAGGTAAGCATCACTCCATTTCATACTTCAAAAGTGGTGCCCGCGGCATCGTACACGAATGGGTGGTGTGAGCGAACCGCACACAATGCACGCACAAGTGCAAAGTTCTGGGCTGCGCATGACTGCCAGTGGTGCGCACTATGAGGGAGGGTTCTTTTTCTCTGTGCATGTGTGTGTGTGTGTGGGTGGGTGTGGGTGTGGGTGTGGGTGTGTGTGTGTGTGTGTGTG